CTGCCCTGCCTTCCTTCTGGATAGATTTTGGAAGTACTCTGCTTACAAGCTTGAATCCTGCAGCTTCTAGAGACTGGAGGCTCTGAGACTGCGTAGATAGCACTTACATGTTTGTTACTAAGAATACCTGTGGGTTTATTGCTGGTGGAGCCTGAGGCGCTTTAGTGGTCAGTAATCTTCTGATAGTTTTAGTTCTAAGTAGTTTGGAAAAACACCAGGGATTGATAACAGTTATGTCTACTTTATCCCAAAACAAATATAAGCATGTGATTTTTCTTCTTAACTATTGGCACAGAACAGGGGAATGATACGTGTGAGTTTTCAAGTGGAAAAAGGGGCCTGAAGCCATAACCAGTGCAGAGAAGACTCATTCCCCCCTTCCCTTCTCACTAGGACATTGGCACTGTCTGCAGGAGGAGACATCACCTGTGCTGCAATATGAGCAGAGCTGTGAGACAGCCTGTCCTTTTGTTTCTGTCCCTGGCTGCAGCCTTTGTTTGTTGAATTTCACTTTATTTGTGTTGGAGGTTCAGCTGGACTGTGTTGGGAGGCTGAGGTTAATCACCCCTGTAGAGGCTGGCTGGGAAGATTTCAGCTTGTGGACAATCATAATGGGGCAGATAAAGGCAGCTTTCAGATAAAAATGTCAGGGCTCTCTATCTCAAGGAGGGAATACTTTACAGAATGAAGGTGATAACAGTTATGTTTACAGTACTTTCTCTATATATGTTTAATCTAGTTGTCCCTGAGGAAAAAAACAACAAGACCACAAGAGACTGTTCATTTTCCCTTTAGATGCTCTTCTACACTCTTGTAGACATCTTTGGACATTTGAGTCAGTTGGGAGCAAATTTTAGAGCACATTTAACATAATGTCAAAAGGTTGCTGAATTTCTGCATGTTATCTTGGAAAAATGATCTCAGTTGAGGAGCAGTCTCAACTGAGGGGAAGGCGGGAGAAAGTTTTGTTTCCTCATAGGGGACAGCCAGGAACCATCAGCGTGTGCTCCTTGAGCTGCAGCACGCCTCCACCTGCTAACCAGGCTGCAGCTGAGACTGTGACAGCAAAGCACAGAATGAGTGCGTAAGGAACTGAGAGTCTTTCGTTTGACTGCTAACAAAATGGTTCAAACAGAAATGCTTTGCAAAAGAGCATTCTGTCACAGCTCAGAGTAGAAGAGCTCGCAATTCCACTTGGCCTTTGCATAAGCTGTGGCAAAATCTGACCCAAGATGGGTGATTTTAAAAGTAGTTGACTGCAGCTGAAAAGCTGAAGAAGAAACAAAAGGGCAGATGGGTAGAAAGATCTTCTTGAAACTTGGGTTTTTTTTTTTTTTTTTTTTTCCTTTCCTGTTTGGAAGTGTTACCCTGGTTTTTTGCAATTCAAATGCAGAATTTTCTATTACTAATCTGAGAGAACGAGGAAACAGAAGAAATGAAAGTGAAACAATCTTGTTCCTTCATTTTCTCTGCCTAGAATGAATTCTATAGTAGAAAAATGTAAGCCAATTTTCAACATTTTAAAATTTGGTTGTTGCAGGTGTGTGCAGGCTTAACCACTTTGTAGAATTTGAGGTCAGACGATACATTCCCTTACCTCAAGCTGTTGTATTTCAGCCAGATTATTTTTCAATGGAGTGCCAAGCATTGAGGTGGATTCAGAGGAGTAAAATGGGCACTGTCCATTCGGGGGGGAGTAGGGAAGGGATACTGAGTCCCTAACACCAAAATACTAAATACATGAAATGTGCTGAAATGTTTTCAACAGGTGAATCTACCCCACTTTGCAGATGCAGGTGAAAAACTGTTTTTGTTGCCAGCCTGCCTGGGAGAAAATTCTCTTTTCATTCCAGGTCGGGCAATTAGTATGAGCCTCAGCTTGTGAATAAGAGATGCCTTCCAGGTTTCTGCAGAGATGCCACCTCAGCACTGATTCACTGTGTTCCAGTGTTTTGTTTCCAAATGTGTTATTCTTTTTGGAGGCACTCCTTTCCCTCCCCCCATTTCCCTCTCTGCTGTAAAGATGCCCAGTGGCTGGCAGAGGACAAAGGATTTTTTTAGGCTGTCGTGTTTTAGTAGTGGTCTCTTTTTCCTTTTAAATGATAAAATTTTGTGACTTGGTTTGCTTGGCAATTTGTTGAGATGGATGATTTGATTGATACTGAATACGTGACAGCAGTTCAGGTTAATGTTAATGTGCTACATCATTTCAGTGTTAAAGAACAAAATTTATCCCTAAACACAACATTATTGCTCTGGCTCTTAAAAGTAAAATTTTATGTGAAACTCTTAACATTTCTTATTACAAAATATTCAAGCCTCAGGAAATTGCATGAGTGCTATTTAATCTTATATCTCTCTGCTTTTCAATCTTAACTACTTTCATTTGCTTACACTTCCTCTTAATATGTGGTGTTACTACAGCTTTCAGTTTCCTAACTGGGTTACAGATAGGTGCTTTTCCTGTCTCATTTAAAACTAAGGAAGCTGCTAATAAAAGGTACGCAGTGTTTGTGCATTTGTGCAAAGCTTTCTCTTGGAGTTCTCTTTGGATGTGTAACTGTGTTTTTGATTGAACAGCTGAGATCTAGTTTGGGCCTGCAGTAGAATGTTTGTGGATTTGTTTTAAAGGTTCTCGTGAGATGTGACTGTAGCAATCTGACACTTAGAAAAAGCAGAGCAGAACGAAGCCTTCCTTTTGCTCCAATGCCGCATTCTCACAGTAACCTCAGGCTGGCCTTGGTGCCAAGGGAGGTTGTTCCACCACGCTTCTGGCTATTTGCTGGCAGCCCTCCTGCTGCTCCTGCCTCCTGCCAGCTGCTTTGGCTATCCAGTTTTTGTCTCTGCAGAAGTGCTCAAGGGTGGGAGCAGGCTAAGTGGCAGGGACTGGAGGAAGGCATTTGTGCTCTGTCAGGGCTGGTGCTGACTTCCATTGCTTCACAGTGAACACAGGAGCGTGCCCTGCCGTGTCAGTCCAGCTTCCATCAGTGGCATGGTGTGGGAGAAATGAAAGTGGAAGTGAGGGCTTATCTTGCTTGTGTGTGACCCCACCCAGGGCAAGCAAATGGAGTGTAAAGAAGAGTTTAGAATGTTGAGTCTTTCCCTCCATTTTGTTTCCTTTAAAAAATATATACGTAGCTCTGCAGGAGAACCCAGTGTTGTTTAGAGATACCGGGGTGCTGTATGGAGCTGTAATACCAGTAGTCCTACAGGCAGCTCTTTGGGCAGGGTGTCGCACACCAGAGCCAAGTTTTGCAGCCCAGGCCCTTCTCACTGCAGTCAGGCTGAAGCAGCCCTGATCCATGTGAGTGGTCATTCCTGCAGTGGGGCTGGTAAGAATTGCTGCGGGAAAGATGGACTGCAAGCCAAAGGCAAATGCTGCTTGTTCTTCTGGGACTTTGGTCTTTGACTTCTGATCTAGAAGTGTGAGCCAGATGTAATAGTGTTTGATAGGAATACATGACTTTTTGAGGTAAGATGCATAGCTATTTCAATATGTTTAGTAGCATCATTTTTTTTTTCTGAGTTTGTTATTTTTTTAAGGACTCTGACATTAACTTTATAAAAGCTCTTGTTTTTGCTTTTGTTTTTTATATTTTTTTAAGGTAATATATTTCAGTGGTGTTAACAAAGGTTTAAGCTATCCATTTTTAGTATGTGGTTTGTATCCTGAAGTGTATCCTGGAGTCTGTGTCTCCTCAAAGTGACAGATAGTAGGTAGTTATGTAAGCTGAAAATATACTATCCTTTATGCTGATGATATTCAAAAAGACGTATTTTTTATGAGGCATTTTAATATGATCCCTCTGTTGTTTCTTTTTTGCAGTACAGAAGTGCTTTGTGCTACCCTAATAGTTGTAATTCATTATTGATTTTTATTACTGTTACTAATTTTTCTTTTCAATGCTGTTCCTTTGCTAAAGATGAGGTACTTATTTTAATGGGTTCTCTAAAACCCAGAAATTTCCATAAATGATGCTTCTAACTACCAAGTATGTAGGTGGACTGGAAAGAGTTCCAGAATTCCAAATCTTGCTATGGCTATACACAGTGGATTTTCTTCTATGTCTAACACTTTATTCTCCTAATTTCTTACTGCCAACTCAAGGCTGTTTTAAAAGAAAAAATCCTGGTTCTTGTCACAGATTCTTCTTTTTCATTGTCTACATTGCAAAGATTAATTCCTTAATAACAGGTTCCATTCTTCATGCTTAGCTTCCCATTGGCAGTGTAGTCTCTAAGAAGTCTCAGTGAAGTTCAGATGATATACTACTTAAAGGACAGAGGTTTAGATAAGTAAGGGCAGTCTCCAGCTAAATAAAACATTTACTATTTCTATTTTTCACTGATGAAAATCTTAATTAATTGATGGTAATTGCTGTATGAGAATTGTATGTGTGAAATGTTGTGCTTACTTGTCTGTGGATGTAGATGATAGGTGAGATTTGTTTTTAATGCTTTGATTTATAGCCCTGATTTTTTTTTCCAGAGCTAACTCAATCAGTATGTTTTATTGCTGATATTTTTTAGATTTCTTCAGTTTTCTTTTTCAGTGTAATTACAGACATCCTGGCTTGTAGATTTTTTTTCCCATAAAGCCAAAAATAGGGAGGACAGAAAAAAGCAAGCTGTTGGCAGATTTATTACTGAGGTGTTTTTTTTTCACCACGTTCTGCCATTTTTTGTCACTTTACATCCCTTCCTCTTTAAAACAGAAGTTAAGATTAACGACGTTTTCATCATTTTTATTTGTCATATAGAATATGTTATGAAAATTCACTTATGCCTCTGGGGAGTGGGAAACGTGCTTTCGTTAATCATTGGTAGTTTGACTTTTCTTTGTAGAGCTTCATTTTAATATATTGCCTCTGCAGAGCACTGATGTTTTCCCCTCAGTTTACGAATGTCTGTCGTTATTTTTTTCAGCAGACAATCAGCCACGATCCTTGCACAGGGGATTTAAAATCAACTTCAAATTATTGGAGAATTGCACTTCAAGCAGGTCTTCACTATAATGGAAGAGGCCAGGAGCTCAAAGAATGGAAATCATGACCCAAGGAAGTCTGTCCGTCTCGTCAGCGAGGAAGGCAAAGCAGTTAAAGTTACAAATAATCAAAATTATAAGCATAACAGAAATGACAAATCTGTGAAAGATATTGGGAGAAGTTCTCCAAGTGGGAATAGCAGCAAAAAAAGTAAACAAAATGATGTTTTTTCTGAAAAACAAGGAGAAAATAAATCGTGCAAAGTAAATAGTTGTATTCCTGGGACTAAAGACACTGGGTCAAATGTTCAGGAGCGAAATCATGGAAAAGTAAAAAAAAATTCTAATTTATCAGCAGCAGCAGAAAACCTGAAACAGACAAAAGGTCAACAAATGGGAGAAAACTTTCTAGGCTCCCATGTTTCAGGAAATGGGGTCAGTATGGAAACCTTAACAGCTACTCACAAAGGGAAACTGGTTTTGGAAAATCCACTTGGAGTTCATGCATCGAAGACTAATGTGGATCAGACTGGTGATCCTGGTAGGACTGCTTCAGATCAAAGAAAACTGGAACATAAGCCTGATGACTTCAGTGAGTATTACTCAACATTACACACTTTTTTTTTTTTCTGATGGAATGGTTAACCATGGGCTTTGAAATGTTTTTGTTGTGTATTTTTTTCACATGTAATAAGTTGCTGCTTGCATTTACAGGTAATATGTTAATATAAGCACATTACTTAGAGAATAAGAGATTATGATAATGACTTTTTTTTATGCCTTAAATCTAAACATCTTTGCAAGAGGCTTGAAGTGCGTGGGTTTCAGGCAATTTTGTGAATATAGTGTCTTGGCTGGAGGAGAACCCTTCATAATATCATTGCCATTTATGAAAATGCCAGGTGTTACTGCTTTTCAGAAAGATCTGGAGAAAAGAAATCTGTTAGAAAGCATTTTTTATAGATATGAGGGGAGTATTTACCTTTTTTTGTGTGTATTATGCTGTTTCCTACTGAAAATGTTTAAAATTGGCAGATGGCTTTTCAGTTTAGGGAGCTGTGGAATACTTTCCATCCATCAGAAGTTACCTTTAGGAGTGTTTAATTTTTGTGTCTTTTTCAGTTTCAGAATTAAACATGGGTCAGGATTTATTTCATTTCAGGATTGCTCCTTATCACAGACTTTGTCATGCTTTTTCAGAACACAGTATTCTCTAATAAAATGTTGCTTGAAGGCTGTAATGTCAGAGTGCAGAGCTTCCATTTGAAATATTTCCTACCACTGCAGCAGAAATGTGAAAATAAAAGGGAAACTATGAAAAATAAATATTTTTTGGTATCTTTATAAAATTTCACAGGAAAAAAAGTTGAAATGATGGCATCCCCTGACTGGCCAGCTCTTTGTAGACCACCATCAGTACTGAGGGGACCATCTGTCACTGGCCAAACAGGACTTGAAAATTTGCTCAGATTTTGTTTCCAGGCGTTTGGTGATGTAAAAACTACTAATTTAAGATGTAGGTGTTTGTAGAGGTTAATGAACTATGAACAATTCGTAGGCATCTGGAGGAACTGGACTGGAAGTGAGCTGTGTGTTTGAGTAGCAGCATTCCAGAGCTCTGTGGTTGCTAGCCCTGGTATCATGGCAGTGTGTCACAGTCTGCCCAACTACAACTCCCAGCTGTCATCTAACATGGGTGGTTGCAATGTCTGGCAGCTGGCTTTTTGAGGTTGTTTGGGTTAATGTATTTAAAGTTGTTTTAGATTGTTTCCACAGCAAAATATGTTATTTAAAAGAATAATAATTAAGCCTAGTACTTTTATTTCTGTTAAGCAGAGCATCAGGACCTCATGTACTCTGTTCTTTTTTGCCTTGAAGGCCTTAATGGAGTTAGCAATATGAACCTTACTTGTTCTGGTGTTTAGCTTGCAGTATAACTCGCTTTGTGCCTCGCCTCTTAGTGAGACGATCTATCTATAGTGACCTCTGTACTCTTACTTGTTTATTCTGAAGAAAATAACTGTTTCTTTCTCTAGGTAAAATAAAGAATTCTGAACCAACTGAAGAACATACCTTGGAAGCTGATTATTTAGAAAGCACAGTTATTGATGAGTCTAATCTGACGGCTGAACAGCAGTTGGGATTGAAACAAGCTGAAGAGCGGCTGGAAAGAGATTATATCTCCCGACTTGAAAAAGTAGGTTGAGTATTTATCAGATAAAAAAGAAGATGAATATCTTCCTTTGGTGTCATCACCATATTTTGGGTTGAGTAATATCTCTATTCCAGACTGTTGCCTCTGTTTCTTCATTATAGTGTATCACTTCAGTCATTTAAGATACTAACCATTAATAGATAAAAATAGGTTAAAAGATACTGCCATTAATTGTGACAAGATAGGAATTGAAAACATTGTCTTCCTTTTGTGGTCACACGCAGCATTCATAGAACAGTTGTGTTTTTTTTCTAATTCTGCACATGTAAAGGTTTACATTTCCATTACTTATTTAAGGTGTTCTAGAAAGTCCTATACCTGAAAATTCAAGGTATTGGGTCAGAAAGGAACCTCAGTGCATCTTCAGTATGTTAGCCTTCTACCAGACTAAGTCACCTGTATTAAAGATGACTTCTTAAAAACGTTTATTTAAGCTGCTGTAGTAATCTCCAATGAAATATGTTTTGCAATCATTATAGGTATCTCAGAAGTTAATACCTAATGTAAGTGTCTCTGGAGCATTTTACTCTCTCATGTGTTGGCCTAGGAAAATAAACGTAATGGTTTATAACCTTCATCAGCAACTCTCCACGCATTTGAAGATCATTACCGTTTCTCCCTGCAGACTTGTCCTTTCCAGATCCACTCTTTGTTCTTTAGTCAGAAGGGTTTTTTTCAGTTAATGGTGCATTCTTGTTGCTCTTCTCTGGGCTTCCACCACCTGGCCCATTTAACTGTGGTATCCTAAAGTGAATGCTGCCTTTTAGCTGATGCCTTACGTGTAAAGAAGAAAGCTGGCTTAATCTATCTGAAGTAAAGCATTTGTGTTTAGGATGTCTGTTGGTTGTTTTTTTCCTGTGGGTGGGTTTTATTGTTGGCTGTTGTTATTTGCTTGTTTGTTTTTTATCAGCAATAAGATAATGGCTTGTAGCTTGGTCAGCTATGATCCACATATCCTTTTCTTAAGAAATGTCCAACTGGGTGTCCTCAGCCCTGTATTTCTTTTAGTTGACAGTATCTAAAGAGGAATGATGTGGTGCTTTGATAAAATTTAGTTGCAACTTTCGTGTTCCATGTCTCTGATTTCCTGTGATCAGTGAACTGTCATCTTAACACAAAATGCATAATCACTTCCAGCATTATCTTTCTCATCTGTAGTCAGCACACTCTCTTTTGCACTTTGTAAATCTCTAACAAAAATGTGAATGATTCTCACCCCAGAAGGACCCCTGTTGGAACCTACTTGGCACATGCTTTTAGACCAGTGATGAGCCAGTGTAGGAATGTGTGCTCTGAGGACAATTTTCTGAGCAGCTTCACTCTCACCTTACTGTTCTTTACTTAGGTAGCATTCACTGCCTTCTTAAGATTCTATGACAAACGACAAAAACTTTGTAAAATTCAGCATGCAACATCTGCTGCTTCCTCAAGCTTTATGATTTTCTTTTAAAAAAAAACAACCCTAAAATTGGTTTAGTGTAGTTTGGTTTATAGCAAATCACTTTGTCACCCATGGCCTATTTCTTTCCTGACTGGTTATTAATAACTTATTTATTAGAGGATTTTACTGGGCACTAATTCTAACTGACTCATCCTCTCTAGCCTTTTAAAGATATTCTTGAGTTTTTCTTTCCTAATGACCTGGAACTTTTCCATTGTTTGAGTTCTTTAAAATACATCTGCCTTTGGGATGTGTTTGCCAAACACAAATTTCAGTAGGCTTGGCTTCTCCTGAGGTTTCTAATTTACTCTGATAATAGTCTGAAGCTATTTGTTTATTTAGAAAACTATTTCCCTTTTCTTTGGTGTTAAGCATATCTACATGATGGAAATAGGCTTTTCAGCAGGGGCAAAATAAAAGGCATTATGTGATTCAACCTTTCTGGGAACTATTGGCATAATACTGCAGATCAGTGTAGTAAAGGAGTACCTGATTGTTGTTAGTGCTGATAGCCAGTTGATTTTAGAAGAGTGTTAAGAGTATTACTTCTGGTCTCCTTCAGTCATCTGGGATCAAATATGTGAGTCTTCTGAACTAGCCAAGTGTAGCTGTAAATTGTGTTCCAAAAGGTGTTTAATTTCATTTTATTAGCTAACAATCTCCAAGAAAATAAGGAGGAAGAGAATTAGTAAGAAAGGTGTAATTACCATTGCGTTTTACGTTCAGATTTAATCCACAGTTGGAGACTATCAGACCTTTCTTCCTCAGTTGTTCTTCTTTTCTGAAAAGCAGAGGATTAAACTCAGTAAATAAAAAACTTACCCAAATGAGTCAGTAACTTAGGTCTTCAGTATGAGAAGTGAAATCTTAAGAAGCTGTAATATCTTAAAATGGTGTTCTCTGCTCATTCATTGTTATGTCGTTGGTAGGACAGCTGGTGACATTAGGATGAAATTTTTAAGTAGTTCTTTTGCTCTTTCAATTACAACTAATAGCTGTTAGAAGTTTTCCAGTAAGTCTGCAGGCATATTTTTGGGGCCCTTTCAAGAGGGACTTGAGGAACAGCTCTCCCATTTGAAATGAATGTGTCAAAGTGCCTCCTACATCGATAGCAATGTTTAATTAGAGCAAGAAGAACAACAGCCAGATGAAATAGGTTAAAGTGGAATACTTGAGAACAGCACCCTATCTTTGCAGAGAGGATCATTTCTGACTTTTTTCCTCCTGTGATTTCCAGAGGCTTGGCAGCTCAGCTGCTTCTTGCAGACTCTCGCCTGTCCAGCCAAAACGCTGAGCACCTCAAATGATTCATCAAAGTAGAATCTTACTCCTTGTTAGACAGTCCCACCTTATTCAGAATTTAATCATCAGGAAGGCAGTAACTGGCTATTGTCCTCCTTGTCGGCCAGCTACACCCTTCTAAATAGAACAAAAAAATGCAGTACTTGCACAGTGTGCTGTGAATATGGCAGCCAAACAACACCACCGTTTGTCATTACATATACAATAGTTAATGTGTTGAAGACTTCCCATCTTCTCTTCAGAGAAGGGGAGATAAATGCAGAGGTTTAATAAATCTGTGGTTATTAAAAGCTTGAGCTGACAAGGGAATGGCTTGCTGGCCTTTAGTTCAGCTTTAAGAGGCAGAAACTTTTTGGTCTTAATCTTGCTTAAAAAAATGTAATGAGAAGGGTTATATTCAACTCATCTCACTTCCTTTCTTTACCTCCCTAGTCATATGGGTAAAAATCCACTTGCACCATGTTCTTTGAAGATTACATAATGTTTACAAAGCACCCTTATATTGCAAATGCTCACTAATTGTTAAATAGAATTTGTTATTGAGGCAGTTGAGTTTTTCAGACACTATTGGCAGCAACATTTTCTTTTAATCTGTGGCCATTTTTCCCCAGCGCTCCCCAGAATATACCAACTGTCAGTATCTATGCAAGCTCTGCTTAGTTCACATTGAAAATATCCAGGGAGCTCACAAGCATATTAAAGAAAAACGTCATAAGAAAAATATAATGGTAAGTTAACCACGTTTTCAAATGCCTTTTTTTTTTCCCTGTTATAATAAATATTGAATAAAATGGCAACAAACCAGCCTCACCTTTAATATGGAAACAGTCCTGTGCCATGCTTTGCATGTGGGCATGGAGACAAGAATTCAGAAATGTGGTTTCTTTACCACTGAATGGAAATGATAGAAGACAGGACGTGGTTTCACTTTTTAATATTTGTCTTCAGAAAGTTTTATGTAGGACACCACATGACAGTGTGTGTAACTGTCCAAATGTTACTTCATAGAGTACCTGTTGGCAGCTCTGATTACTGATGTATGACTGGGAATGAACTCTGCAGCAGCTGTGGGTCCTCACTCAAAAAAAAAAAACAAAAAAGAAAAAACCCTTAAAAAAAAACACACACAAAAAGCAGCCCTTCAAAATGTGTTGTGTTTACTCAAGTGAGAAAAGAGCAGTTGATAGATGAAGGCTAGTACTAAAGAAATGTTATTTTCATACCATACTGATGTGCTTAGTGTAGAAAACAGTGTAACTATTTTCAGGTTATTATTTATTTCTGTTGTCAGTGACATTTCATTTAGTAGATGAATGCGTGAAACTAGTTATTGTTTCATTTAGCCCCAAATGCTAAATGCATCTGACACAGTTATTGCTGTTGGATAAGCTGATTATAATGTGATGCATTAAAAGTTCTTTCTTGTGCTAGTTGTTCAGGCAGCAGCAAGAGGAGACTGTACTTTTTAAAACTTCCTGGGAGCCAGGAATATCTCTTCTGCTACTGATGTCCTTCATTCCAGTACAGCCTGCTCTGAAAAATCTGTGTGATTCTTGTGTGAAAAAGTAGCTTTTTCCACTCAGATGCTTCTATTATGTAGGAACAGATAGAGCTTTTTGATTTCTTTGGATGATTTCTGTTTCAGAGCTGTCAGAAAACGTGGTTCAAGAATATAACGCACCAGATTTCTTCTCCAGTTGCCAGCTGTGAAATAACGTGTTCTCTTTTAAACACAGCATCTACTATCATTTCTGTAGGACAGAGTTACCACCTTTGGAAATGTTTGATCAGGACACTTGTAAATAGAGCTTAATTAGCAAACAGTACATTTTTAGCGTATAATGCAATACTGTGAGATGCATACATTGATACGTATCATGCAATTCTACAAGATATCCTTATCTCTTAAAATACAAGTTTTTACTTTTATCATTCAACAATTATTCAGGAAAAACAAGAGGAAAATGAGCTGCGTGCCCTCCCACCCCCTTCTTCTGCACAGTTGGCTGCCCTGAGTTTTACACTCATTGAGGCAGCAAATGAACAAGGCATATCTGATGATGACTTCAGAATTCGTCAAGAAATTGTAAACGAGATGGAGAAAATTATTCAACAGCCCTTACCAGGTATCCATAGCATCCTCCATTTTCTCTACTTGAAAATTGTTCTTTTTATTAATGGAGAATTAATACATTTGAGGTTAGAGTATCTTTGTATTATACAAATGTATATGTATGCAGGCATTTTAATACTGGCAATTAATTTAAAAGCAGCTAACAAATCTACAAAAAGAGAGAAATGTGATTGTCCTTTCCTTTGCTTCTTTTTGTATGTGTTTATTGAAGCTCTTGGTCCTCTTTAAAGTGGTAATTTCTAATAAAGACTGGAAGTAACCAGTGCACCAAATATTTCCTACCTAGTTATGATTAAAGCTGCAGCCACTGAGATCTCCTTCGGGCTCCTTCAGTCCTACTGACCCTTCCACCTGTACCTTACCTAACAGTACTGAGTGTCTGTGCATTTTGCAGTAGAGTGATTTATTTTTCAAGTGTGCTTAGCTATGCTTGCGTAAGTGTTTCAGGGGTTGGGGTAGAAAGGAGAATATGAGAAGGTACTTGAAGAAAAAAAAAATCCTACCAGTCCTTCAAATGTTTTTGATGTCTTTAGGGGCAAATAAAAGTCACACGACTCAACTTTCTTTAAAGCGTAGATTAGGAAAAAGAGTGTTAGACCCCAGTGGTTTCTGTGGCCAGATGAGACATTTTCAGTACTTGATTGTGATCTGAAATATCTATGGATATTAATCAGCAAATATTTATTAAAACAAGTTTAGATCAAGAAATGTTACTGTTTAGCAAGTATTTCTTCCTATGTGTATTTGTAGCTAGCGGGTATTAAATGAAGGAGTTACCTTAAGTAAGTAAAAATATTGCATTCACCTAATGATGTATAAATATCATACCTTACCTTTATGAGTGCTTTATGTTGATAAAAATGTGAAACAGTCTGGGCAGGTATACACATGCTTGGTCACATGTGTTGCTTTGGTGGATCATTGAAGTCAGTGGATTTATAAAGTTCCTAGAAATGGTCTGGGTTTGGAAAAGGCCTTTAAGATCATCTGTCCAACCATCCACCTACCACTGATATTTCCCCACTACCCCATGTCCCTCAGTACAACACCTATACACTTCTTGATCACCTCCACGGATGGAGGCTCAACCACTTCCCTGCCCATTCCAGCACCTGACCACTCTTTCAAAGAAATGTCTTATTTTTAGGGACTGCATTTAATATGTGCTTAAATGTAAGATGCTGTATAGAAATTAGGCTTGCAGCGTGCAGCTGTGCTAAATGTTCACTTAGTGATATTGCCACGTGTGGCTCCCAGTGCAATCTGACACACTTGAGTTTTCCACGGATAGTATTTTGACAAAGGAGAAAGTGAAGGAAATGGTCAGTGTTCTTGTCAATATTCATTGAAGTTACTGTACTGGTGTCATTCAGCTGCTGAAATGGTTAGAGTGATGAGCTGATGTGGGGCTGTTTGTCTGCAGCAGTAAGTGGCAATGTGTTATTCTCCATTTCAAAGCCTGTTATGTTTTAGTGAGTCTCTTTTCAAAAGTTGTAAATTAGGAGGAAATTTAAGCATAGTGTAGTAAACATTGGATGTCCTGGCATGGTTTGAAACTGTGCGTGAATAAGATTGATTTTCTCATAAAAAAAAACCTTATGATAGTTCTGTTTGAAAATATTTGATCAGAATGCAAAGAGAACACACAAAATGCAGTAAAAATCCTCTTCACAGTGAGACTGTTTAAACACTGGCACAGGTTGTAAAGTCTCAGTTGTTGGAGATATTCAGGACCCAACTGGACACAGTCCTGGGTGTTGTGTGCCAGGTGACCCCATGTGAACGGGGTTGAACTAAAGAGTCTCCAGAGATTCCTTCCAACCTCAGCCATTCTGCGACTCCGTAACGAAGATCTCTCCTTACTGCCCCAAATGATCAATAATTGGGAAAGAGTTGAGGATAGTCTCAATTTGCAGCTAACATACGTACATCAGAGCCTTAATATATGTTGCAGGAAAGGTTTGGCTTACATAAATTGCTTCATGGTGTGATAGCAATTAGTGCTCTTGGAGCAGAATGACTTTTCACATGATAGCATTACTAAATGGTTACTTTCTAATTAACTTAGACGAGATGTGTTGTACGTCCTTGCAGGTAAGGAACTGTGTTAAGTGCAAAAGCCCTATTAAAAGGGTACTATACTTTGTGGCTTTAGTTATATTGAACTTGTTTTATATGCATGGTTATCAATGAGTTGTGCAAAGGAACTTGCAGATGTCACCTATTGAAATTGTCGTACGTGTTAAAAAAAAAAATTGACAGAAATGTGTGTGACAATTAAATACTGCATCGTTGGGTAACTTTTCCTGTAAGGTGAAGTTATTAACAGCAGAAACTGTTAATTAAAATCCTGCAATGGGATGGCAATGCTTATTATTGCTCAATGGTTTTATTAAAAACAAAGAAAACTAAACTTGCTGGCTGCATTGCAAATATTCCAAAGTAGTTTGGACTCTTAGTGATGGTACAGTTTGAATTACTAGTTTTGCTGTGATGTTGTGTTGTAGAAATGAATAAATGTCACAGATGTGAAAAAGTGGTTCAATATTTATTAATCTGGGAGCACTTCTTGGGAGCTAGAGTATCTAAAGTAAAGTAAGGCACCATTAAAGAATATTTTCTTCTTAGCTGATAATTATAAATAATTATGTTTCTCTCTCTTCCAGACTGTTCACTGAGGATGTATGGCTCCTGCTTAACTCGATTTGCTTTTAAAACCAGTGATATTAACATTGATATAAAATTCCCACCTAAGGTGAGTAGACACTGTCTTGATTTATTTTAGAGTGTTTGTGTGAAGTATATGATCTTTCATCTGGTTTCACATGTGCTATGAAACAAATGGAAAAATTTTTTATTATTTAGTGGATAACTTTAATTCTGTTTTTTGCACAATCTTATGCTACCTTTTTTAAGTTTATTGAAGGAGCACTAAGGCAGTATGAAAATAGCTGGCTCCAGGTGAGCAGGCTTTTATGTGCTCAGAATTCTGACAGCAGAATCTCACAGATCTTCATCTCCCAGCCCTTTCTGGTTTTGTTTTTGTTTTAAAAAAGTTTACTTTAAATAATGACAACTTTTCTTTCACGTTTTAGTCGATTACAAGCAGATCTCATATTCCAAGTTACAATATACTGTGGTACAAAATTCCTGTAGAGTGGTATAACTTGCCTTTAGATGTTGAAATTGTTGGTTTGTGTTTAGTACATGATTTTAGCAACATGTCCTTGCTAGAGACACAGCTGCTGATCTTGCTCTTTCTTGGCCTATGCTGTGGAATTCAAGATACCTGTTTTGGGTGCATGTTTACGTGTTACATTTTTAAGTGATACTGCAGCTAAGTGGAAAAATGAGGTCTTTTTCTATCAAGTGCACTTGGAATGTATCATATAATTTCACATGGTGCTAATTTTTAGGGTTTTTTTTCATAATTTGCAGCCACTTGAGTAATTACAGCTGATTTCTGGGGAGGAAACATTTTAAAAAGTTAATCTTTAAAAACCCTTGGGAAAGAAAGTTTTTGTCATGCATTTCTGTTGGCATCTTCTGACATTGGGATTGCTGAATATACAGTGTATACAACATCACCTTAAGTAATTTGAAATGAGGTGTGAAGTAAAATCATTTCATCCTAACAATGTAAACTGTTTGAATTTTGTCATTTTAGATGAGTCAACCAGATGTTCTGATACAGGTGCTTGAAATCCTGAAGAACAGTGGTGAGTCTCAGTTGCTTCTCATTTCTATTTAATTAAAAATCAAATTACTGTTCACTTGTTTTTATATGGAAATCTTCAGTAAACTTAAATAATAATTTTCCACCAAGTTATCTGAGTTGCTTTTGGAGTACCAGTGATTGTACAGAGGTAGAATGGCCGCTCAGGTGGGCCAGCCTTTTCAGATTGTCAGAATTAGTGGTAATTCTTTTTGACCTGATAGCTCAGGCTGTTTCACTTAGTGGGAAAAGTTCCAAGCAGTAAACTTAGCAAACAGTTTCCACTTCCATATGAATGTCAGTGGGAACTATTGCAAAACTGCTGAAACTTGTAGCCTCCTTGTTCTCTCAGGAACTCATCTAACCCCATACAATGCACGTGTTGAACCAGGTGACAGAAGTAGCATTGTATTTTTGATCCTTCAGACGGTTTTTGATCGACCAGCTCCACAAGCAGTCTGCAAACCAGCCCTCTTTGGTCAAAATTCTACCTTGTGTCATTCAAATCTTATAAAGATGAAAAATGTTCTAAAAGAAATGCCAGCTGTTTCCCAGTGAGAACTTTTCTTCTTTTTTTTCCTACTGACTGTGTTATACTTGTTGTGAGAACCGAAAGTAACCAGAATATGCAACTTAGTGATTAGAAATGCAGCACTTAGTGTTTTCCTGTAAATGCCTGCTATAGAGGACACAGCTGGGAAAACTGTGAAAGATTTTTACATGTGACATTTTTTCTCCTTGCATAGCTGTCTACTCCGATGTGGAATCAGATTTCCATGCCAAAGTTCCTGTTGTCTTTTGCAAAGATGTTAAAAGGTACGTGTTATTGAAAAAGATTTTTCAGGAGATGCTCATTTCTATTGTGCTTGTTTGTAGAAGCTTCTGGCACGTGTTCTTGACAAGTATTAGCTAACATTCATGTCAAAGGGGAAATTCTCATACTGAAAATGAAATATAGAAAGAAATCTTGGTTTTGTTCTTGTGCTTGGACTAGGGGAGATGCACACAGCTTATCAGCTGTAGGACTCTGAAAACAGCAGTTTTGATTGCAGTTATGTAAAGAAAATGCAGAGTGGTTCTCAGACAATACTTAAAATTTCTGCCAATAGTTTAATCCAGGAGTTTAAGAATATTTTGTAAGATTCACATTGCCAGTAAGGAAACATCAACTGGCAGTTTCAGTAAATTCCTAATACGTAGCGACCTCCAAAATGAAATGTCTTTGCTGTGTGATGTCCATGTGGTTTGACTGACTGGAAGTATGTAACTGAAACTCTGAAGAAGCAAATATAGATAGGATGGGCATATGTTTTTCTCATGCCTTGTTAAGTACTAAGAGAATAGAAGTAACTATTTTGAGAAGCAAAAACAAACACACAAAAAATGTTCAGACAAGCTGTTTTGTGGGCTTACCAACTCTTGTATGAAACAGACCTGTTTTTATTTATTTAGTGTGTGATAGATATACATGGTGCTTGTGAGTTATGCACAGTCAAGAAAAGGGAGAACTTAGAGCAAATTCTTTTGCATTTTTAGCTGTGCTGTAATGACAGCTTTTATATTTAGCTGTAGTGACTTTCAGTAAGTTACAGTTTCAAGTGATGAATTAATAGTAAAGAGAACTGCATCATATTCTGTTGCTTTTGTTAAAAAGTTTCTTTCATAGGGAGGATGCATGTTTTTAAGATTGTGGAAATGATTTCACTGTCTCACACCTCCAATCATTGTTTGTGTACTTGAGGAAAAGATAATTTTTTTTTTCCCTGTCTCATATTTGTAATTACAGTGGTTTGACATGTAAAGTTAGTGCCAGAAATGACGTGGCTTGCCTTACAACTGATCTGCTGGCTGCACTTGGTAAACTGGAGCCTGTCCTCATTCCTTTGGTTTTGGCTTTCCGCTACTGGGCTAAAGTAAGTGCATAAATACTGAGGACATTGAAATATGTTTGTTTCCTCTTCTTAAGTACTGTGTACAGTGTAATATGTGTTATACCATGAGAAAAAAACTTGATGCTACTATTTCACCTAGAATGAAACTGAAGATTTTGGTTTGGAAACTATATATGTTTTTGAAGCTTCCACTATTCTGTTGGCAAGCTATTATACTAGTTTCTTAAGTTAATTGTTCCTTGAAAACCAGCTCAACTGAGCAAACAGGTCTTACAAACTCCCTGCTATTGAGATAGCATTGGAGAAATTTGCATTTGCTCTTAACAAAATTGGTTGCCATATCCTGCTGTTCTTCTTGTAGGTATCAATGGCGATCACGTTAAAATGTTCACAGCCAGCATTTAACTGTCATGTAATTGAACACTGAAATTGCTGTCAGTCCATATTTAGGATGTCTTGGCCTCATCAGAAAGTTAGGTTTTGATGTTGTTTTCATATAATTTAGCAGTGCTCTTATGAAAATACCTGTTTTGCAACACAGAGAGAAATAGGAATAGAAACTACAGAGAGCTGTTTGAAGTCTGACATGTTACATCTCTCATGATTTCTCATGAGAGAGATCAGTATCAGATTACAACTAGATGAATGGAATCTCCATACATGAGATGTCGTACAAAACAAATACCTGACATATGTAGAACATAAATATGTCCCACAATCACCGAGTGTGAAGATAGTGAAAAGAATAAGAGAAAATAAAATAGTATAAGTGAGACACTGTGTGAATGATTAAAACTTGCGTTTTCCCTGTACGGGACATGACTGATGTGTGCTTATAAATGTGCCTAATGCTACAAGAAAATAAGTGTGTTGTATGATAATCTGACTTACAAATGAGCAGTAGATGACTGAGAATTGCTTATATTACTTTGCCATTTCCTGTCTGCATTTATAAAGCAAAATGCATTACTTTGTTTACTGCAGTTTTTGAGATAAACGGTTTTGCGTTCGATTTTGTCACATTACTTCTTAAATATATATCCCTTTATGATATATTTTAAATTAAAATGCTGATGTTGCATCAGAAAATTAATGATGTGTTCTGTTATAGCTCTGCCACATTGACTGTCAGGCTGAAGGTGGAATTCCCTCGTACTCCTTTGCCTTAATGGTGATATTTTTTCTTCAGCAAAGAAAACCACCTATTTTACCATCCTTCTTGGGCAACTGGGTAAGTGTTTTGATAATACAGTACCCCTACTATTAAATTATTGTAAGGTTATTTCCGTATTCTAAAAGGTCATAATATGCGCAGAATTTGTTTGCCTTATAAATCTGTAAATAGAACACGTGGGTATCTAACCTTGTGCAGCTGATAGCTGCTGTAGCCTCTGCAATTGTACCATGGTGTATTTTAGAGAAAGGAGAAATCCTTTCTTCTTTAATTTAGTTATCTGTCATCAGTTATTCTTGAGAGGGATAAATGTGACAATTGTCCTTGTTACTTTCGGTGAAGTCTTTGTACGTATTATATGCAGTCTTTGTTCAGAGCTACTCTAATTGTTATTAGATTGAAGGCTTCGATTCAAAGAAGCCAGATGACCACCAGCTGAAAGGTGTAGAAGAAGATGAGTTTGTACGGTGGGAATACAAACCGTCAACAAATGGTTCAGCAAAAAACTCAGTTGGAACAGAAGGTAAAAGTAAAGTTGAACAGCAAAAAGGTGGTGGTAAGAAGGCAACAAGCTCAGAAGTGGACAACCAAAGTAATGCGAAGGAGAAGCACGGCAATGTAAGTCAGCGGTTTTATTTCACTGCAATTCACAGTCTGTACCTTAGCCCTGTTGTGGATCTTTAAACATTAATGTTAGATGCAACCAAGAAAAAAACTGGAATTTGCGATTCTTACAGCATCTGAGCACTCTTATCTATTTCAGTCTCTCTTAGCATTCAAAACCCCTCACCAAGTTTCACTGGGGCAACTGTGGTTAGAACTGTTGAAATTTTACACACTGGAATTTGCTTTGGAGGAGTATGTCATCAGCATACGGGTACAAGAACTCTTAACCAGAGAGAACAAGAACTGGCCTAAAAGGCGAATAGCCATTGAAGGTAGGGTGATACCTTTTTCTCATTCTGTGGTCTGTGCGTGATCATCTTTTGTTTACCCAATACAAATCTGTCACAAGATGTCTAGACAACAGACTAAATAATATTAGAAGGAATAGTAATTGAATGGGAAAGTAAATTGCTTTTGTGGTGTATTTTGTCTGCTGTTTAAACTGTTTGAAGACCAGTTTCCTGTATAGCACTATGTTTTCTGGTCCTTGAAAAACAAAGTACAGATCTCACTGTTTCTTACCTTTCTGTTGTTATCTTCATTTCTTTCATTTATTTCTGTAAACCATTATTTTTGTAAGCCATCATTTTTTTTCTTTTTTGATAGTACTGATATTTATGAATTCTCAGCACATCTGTCTGCATTTCCAAAGCCATATGTTGAGTGTTAGCAGCTATCAGCTTATTTCCTCTGACATAACGTGGGCTGAGTAGAGAGGTTAGCTCTTATCTTGGTGAACTGGAGCAGCTGGTGCTTGATGATCCTTGGGGTCTCTTTCAACCCAAGCCATTCTATGCTTAAGCCCACTAAAGTAATCTCTCCACCCCTTTCCCTGTTGACAGTATTTCCATACTGTGAAACTGAATAACATGTCATAGACTGTGCTTCATTGCCTCAATAATGTGTCTAAGGGAAGTGCTTTTATGGGGAGAATTGAGTGATATATAACCTGAGTTATGTATGTTGGGGAGAGAAATGCAAAGAGGGGAAATTATTTTGTCAATTGCTTCTTTTATAGCTGGAAGGCATCTTTATTTCTGTTCCTCAGCTCAGAAATGTGTGATTGATACTTTACAGGGAAAGTAACACAGCACTGCCTAGCATTCTGGATTGGGCTTAAGAACAAGAGGACTGGGTGGTGAGGAGTGCTAAGAAACCACTTTAAGTCCTATTTTTATAAAAGAATAAGTAATGGATTTTGGAGATCTGTTGATAAATTTGGTTTTTTGAAACACACATCAGGTGATAGAGGCAATAGGGAGAATTATGTCACGGTGGCAAGGAATCAGTTACTAAAGGAACATCGGTGGACCAGTCAGTGAGGTACAAAGAGGAAAAAAAGTAGCAGATGTTGAGTTGTGGGTCTCAAAATCACTCCTGTGACTTTAATTTCTTCTTTACTTCAATCAGGTTCAATGAGAAAGTTTTAAAACTAGGCCAGTATACAGTTATCATCTGAGAAACTAAAACCTGCAGGATGAGAGAACAAATTCTTGAGAAAGAAACAGCAAGCTCTTTTTGAAAAGATACTGCATTCTGGTGTTGATGCCTGCTACTATTTGGTGGTTTTGTTGTTCATTGTTTGTTGTTGTCATTTTGTTTTGCTTTGTTTCTGATGTTAAACGTGTAACTGAAATTACAAAGTACTAACAGAATCTCAGTGTGATAGAATCTTTAGAGACTAACTTACAACAGCTGTGCAAGTGCTCATTTATTTGGAGAAAAGTATTTGCTTTAGCAATTGCTAGTAAGGGCTAAGAATGAAACCTGGTAAGACTGGTTCATGTAGTGCTTATAACCTTAATGTTAGGACAATTCTTCCAGAGAAATTAATTCACTGGAATTGAAATCCTTCTCTAATGAAGAAAAAAGTGCAGGCAGGAGTCCAAAGGTGCAAAATAAATGTAGGTTTGTTTTCTTTTCTAGATTAGAAATTGACTATAATATAATGGTGTACAATACTAGTGGTGTTGTTGATTTTTGTTTTTATAAAATAACACTATTTAGGATCGCTCATGATTGCTCACCATTCTTGGCCACGTGTTGATTTATATGGAGGAAATCCAAGAGTTCTGGGCCCTACATTGTCTCCAAATCTTCTGGATTTTATTATAAAAATCTCTCATTTTTAACTGTTGTATCATAACTTAGGTATTTCAACTTCTTTAGTTTGGAATAGCTGTTTGAGCAATTAAATATTAATAAAGAAATTGCAATCTTTCTTCCTAGATCCCTTTGCACTAAAGAGGAATGTTGCACGAAGTCTAAATAGCCAGATGGTCTTTGAGTACATCCTGGAGCGATTTAGGACAGCGTATAAATATTTTGCATGTCCACAAAGTAAAGGTGGGATTAAATCCAAGCCAGATACCAGAAAGAAAGAGAAAGGGAAAATTAATAACAAGAAATCCACAAGATCTGAAGAGTCCATAACCAACTGTTGCCTTCCACAAGGGGATAAAACTGTAGATAAACAAAATATAGGAAGTGCATGTACCATACCAGAGAATGAACTTGAATGTAATGAAATGGAAGAATCTGTAGCCAGAAGATACACTTTGAAGAACAGAGACTCTTTGCTACTTTCGACATTGGACTCTAGTTATGATGAAGACAAAGAAGAAGCATTATCCCTTATTTCTAATGAATGCTGTGAATTAAAGCAAAAATCACTTAAAGAGAGAGATGATCTGGATATTTCAGAAGTTGGTCAGACTGAAGGTGAGCTGAGCCACCATTGTAACTGCAGTGAACATCAGTCCTATGACACAAATTCTAGTAATGAATTCTCTGATGCTGAAAGTAGACAGAGTTTGGTAACGGAGTCTTCTCAGAACAAGTGCACTGGCACACCAGCTACCTCGCACAACTGCAGAGCAATGGTGGAAGCTCACGATCTCAAAGATGAAGGCAGACTCTCTACAGAAGAAATGCATTATGTGTTTGATAAGTTTATTTTGACTTCAGGAAAGGTAAGTGGTGTATTTAAGCAGTGCTGGTCACGTACGAGTGGGCTGTTACTTTCAAATAACTAAAATTAAGAATGGGTGGGCAACAAGGTTGTCCACTTATTGTTCCAGGCTCTGTTATGAATGATAGCTCTGGTATTTTTACAGTACCTCTTACTCAGGACTGAAAAATTCTGAAAACATGTGCTGTTTGGACTAGACAGCGTGGTGTGTCTCTCTTATGCAAAGCTTTCTGATCTTTCACTTCTCCTACTTTACTGTAGAATTCCTGGGTGCTTATGTTCATGTAGAGACTGTGTAACTGTAAAAATTCTTGCCTGTGTAAGTTAAATTAAATTGTTGGGTCTATTGAATAATCTTAAAAGTATAATAATAATAATTTTTTTTTAAAAGCCTCCAACTATAGTATGCAGCATCTGCAAACGGGATGGACATTCCAAAAATGACTGCCCTGAGGATTTTAAGAAAATTGATCTTAAACCACTACCACCAATGACAGATCGATTTCGGGAAATACTTGATATAGTGTGTAAGAGATGTTTTGGTAAGTTGGAAAAGCATTTGCACTCCACTGTAAACTGTGATCTGTAATCTGGAGGGAGAGGGGGGGGAAAAGGAAAAGAAGGGTTAAATGACTGATTCCAGTAGATTCAGCAAGAACTTGTTCTTCTAGGTACCTTAGGCTACCAACTGGCTAGTATTTTTGTTCTCTCATAAGTGATGGTTGTGTTATCAGGTTCTCATTTTGAGGAACTAATACTGTACAAGAATTTTATTAGGCTGGTAAGAAGTTGCTGGTGTCCTCAGAAATTAGGCTCTGGGCAAAACTCGTTTTTGTGTTTGTTAATTTCTGTCTCTTTCGACACTGGGTGCCTACGTGTGAGTAATTCCAGAAGAATTAGACATCTGAAATAAAATCCTAGCAAGTCTAATGACAACATAAAAAGAAATAAAAACATTTTAGTTGATAATCAAAGAAAGGAAATGTTTGTTGTTTTTTTTTTTCCCAATAAAAGTTAAGAAGAAGTAAAATATATCTTATCTGATGCTTGTAATTAGCTGAAAAAGGATTTTTGAGGTAGCAGAATGTATATCTGATTGTGTTTTAACTTGTTTTTACTTAGATGAATTATCTCCTCCTTTATCTGAGCAACAAAACAGAGAACAAATTCTGGCAAGTTTGGAAAGATTTATTCGTAAAGAGTATAATGGTATGTATATAGCAGTAGGTAGTGATTCTTGATAATACTTCTTCACTGAAGTTCTCCAGAACATGATAAATTAATCTGTATCCTTAATGCTCATTTTCCTTGTTAAAGCAGTGGCATTTCTTCTCCTCTGCATGTAAACCTATATTATAGGCTTCTAAACTTAACAACTGCCCTATGGTATTCCATGGGAAAGTCCTGTTATTGTCAGAAAAGCGTCAAGAGAGATAATGCAGACACAGTCCTTTCACAGTCAAGACAAGAGAAAAAACAAAACAAAAAGAATGGGCCCAGGCCAGTTGGGTTTAGGATTATCTGGATTGCAGTCCAAGTACTTTTGTTGCCTAGTCACCAGTGTTTGAGTGTTTTGGAAATCTTACTCAGCTTGCATCTTAACATCCCTTTTATAAAGTAGGAAGAAGTATCTTATTACAGAAATGGCATTCAGGGCACAGAGATGAGAAGTGACTTTTTGGATGTTATAAAGCAGTGCTAGAGCACTGTTTTTCTTTCTGATTCAGTTCCTATAGTTATTGAAAATTATGCTTCGTCCTTCATCAATGATGAAATGTTAGAAATGATGTTGTAGGTTCCCTCTAAAGCTCATTTTTATGTACACCTGTGCATCTCAGTTAAGAGATATTCCATAGTAAAGATTTGTTGTTAAACTGTAACAGACTTTTATTTAATTTCTGTTCTACATTTTTGATTAGATAAAGCTAGACTTTGCTTGTTTGGCTCTTCGAAGAATGGATTTGGATTTCGGGACAGTGATCTAGATATCTGCATGACATTGGAAGGCCATGAAAATGCAGAGGTAAGAGTTCTGGAGTTGGTAAAATTTACTATTTGAAATTCAAGACTTCTTGACGTGTTTCATGCAGTTGGGGCTTCTGTATACGGAGCAGGTGGGATTTTGCTTGTAGCACTTAGACTTGTGCTCTTCACAATTAAAGCAAGATATAATTTATTTTAGTTCTGACGCCCTGTAACACTTAGTGCATTGTGAAAGCACACACTTTTGTGTGAGTCACCATTTTACATAAATTCACGTGTTACTTTATAGATTGTTTCTTTCTGTACATATCAGATGTATGTATGAGATGTGCTTTGTGCTTGTGAGATGTGTGATTGATGGTAAATATGCTTATTGAGATAGAACCCATGTTTAAACATCTTAAGCCGTGGCATTTATTTTTCCTAGAAATTGAACTGTAAAGAAATAATAGAAGGTTTGGCAAAAGTTCTTAAGAAGCATCCAGGTAAGTGTTTAAAAGTATTGTTTGTTTTATATTTACTTCTAACATATATGTAGTTAATAGAAATGTTTTATGTACTAAAGTGTTGCCTCTCCAGGTCTGAGAAACATCTTGCCTATAACAACAGCCAAAGTGCCTATAGTAAAATTTGAACACAGACGAAGTGGTTTAGAAGGAGATATCAGTTTATACAATACACTGGTAAGTATCTGTTTGTTTGACTGAGTTCAAAAAAAGCTTTTTTATTTGTTGTAACTCATTCAAGTAATCATATGAAGGAAGAGTTTTGAGACCAAAATTAAAATACTTGTTTGTGTTACTTTTTTTTTTTCTTTTCTCCATCATTTCAATAATGTCTTTACCCTAAGGCCAACCCAAGTAGCTGTACAACATGATGGCACAGCAGCAGCATGGCATACCGAACATCTTTGTGAATGCTCCTGAATTCATCTGTCCCAGTCTCATATTTCAGATTTGTGACAGAAAAGTTGTGTGAATGTTAGGGAATAGCTGTGTGGGTTTTTAGTCCTCCAGTTGTATTATGCATTTCCTGTGCTTGAACTGCAGGCTGTACTATAATAGACCATAAATTACACTGAAACACTTGTTTAATTTTTTTCAGGCCCAACATAATACAAGAATGCTGGCTACGTATGCAGCTATTGATCCTAGAGTGCAATATCTGGGTTATACAATGAAAGTTTTTGCAAAGGTAATATGCAAAGAAAATACTTATTTGTACAGCATGATGTTTTCTGATACAGCCACTGAGTTTACCTTTTGCTTGACACCAACGAGAAAGGAGATAGCAGAATGCTATTAATATGAAGAAACACTCTTTCTTAAGCTGACTGTGGTCCATTCTGATTGTGTCTGTCTGACTCAAGTTCTAACTGGATTTTTCAGCTTTGGCATATTATAAACAAACAAAGAAAAATGCTTATTAACAAGTTTTCTGGTTTTATGTTAGGCAAAAATGGATTTTGAGTTTTCCAGATGGTGCTTGATTTTGACGATGTTTATTTTTCATACTTTGTAAACCTGTTTTTACTTAAGAGATGACTGCATTCTCTGCTAGTGGTGGGTTTATGTTTGCTAACTGGCATAGTTAGCAATCTTGAATGATTGAATGTAAACTCAGTATTTTGTTTAAAATGTATTTTTTTCAGCGCTGCGACATTGGTGATGCATCCCGTGGTAGTCTGTCTTCATATGCCTATATTCTTATGGTTTTGTACTTTCTACAACAGAGAAATCCACCAGTTATTCCAGTTCTTCAGGAGGTATGTTTATGTTTTAAAAAAAAAAAAAAAAAAAAAGAGGCTGCATAAATTCATGTATGAGAAATTTAGAGATTTTAGAAATGTGCATTTAGAGTCAGAAGGATGAATGAAGCACAGAGCCTTTCCTCACTAGTAGGTTCTTAACTCCCACTTTGTTTTAGTGGGTAAAACTGAAAAAGAAAATTATGAAAAAATTGGGTATCTGTTGGACTTAAATTTTGCTGTTGTGTTTACTTGAGATTTTGGCATTACGATACCTATATGCTGAGCAGGATTTAAAAAAAAGAAAAAGCAAATGGAGTGGAAGGAAGGGAATTGTAATTCAGGCTGTGCCAGATGCTCATAGGATGTAACTTCAGCTTTTCTATCAATTATTGTAAGAAACGTCTTTTAAGACTCAGTTTCTTATCTGTAGGAGAGGATTTATTTTCCATTTTCATAAGAAGGTGTGGGAGAATAACCATTGATTTGGTACAACTTTAAAGATACTGTTTTACACGTGCCAGGAAACCTTATTAAAACTATAACATTCTGTACCTTTGCATGGGCTGGGGGAGTATAGCTGGTTAACTGTCTGCCTCTTCCTGGATGTACTCTATAACTGTAAAGAGGTTTTGAAGGTTACCCCTTGTCTGCATGCATGAGGAAAATTGGCTTTAACGTAGCAGCTGAGACTCTGACTTCTTGGTGATATTTTAGTAGTGATTGAGAGTTGTTATTTTATTGCTATCCCTGAGAGTATATTAAAATAAAAATGGAATTTCCCCTTTGACTTTGCTTAAGTCTCCTGAGAGATTTTGTGGGCAAGAGGGATGTTGGAATCTCAGTGACTTAATTCAGTCGTTTTCTTGTTTGCAAGGAACAAGTGAAAATAAAATATCCAAGTACTTTGCAAGAGGCACAGCAATAATGCAAAATGACTTTCAAGCGTTTTACCAATGGGAAATTCTGCCTGTGTGTAAAATAATAGCTAAAATTGAAAGATTTCTACTTTTGTGCTGTTCTTAACAACTGCAGATATGTTTGTGGTGACTTTCAAATTGCAGTGGTAACTGTGTCGCTCTCTGTTTTGGCAGATATTTGACGGAAAACAGATTCCACAGAGGATGGTAGATGGGTGGAATGCCTTTTTCTTTGATGACATGGAAGAGCTGGTAATATTCTAATTTCAAAAGAGTCACTAAACCTTAGGGCTTATTTTTATGAGAAAATGATTTATTTATAACAGTGTCGTACACAAAGGAGAACTTCGATATCCATGTGGTTACAAAGTCCCGCTTTAATCCTGTTTTGCTTACATGAGTGTCTGCTTCTTTATATAAATGTATAAAATATATATAAAGATAAATAAGAAAGGTGGCCCTGAGTTGCCCTAATGTCTTCAATTGCATGTAGAAGAAGCGTCTGCCTTCTCTTGGAAAGAACACTGAATCACTTGGAGAACTTTGGCTGGGGTTGCTGCGATTTTACACTGAAGAATTTGACTTCAAGGAATATGTGATCAGCATCCGACAGAAGAAGCTGTTAACTACATTTGAGAAACAGTGGACATCGAAATGTATTGCTATTGAAGGTACTTACACACTCGAATTGGATGAATGCTGTTGCTTCAGGATCTGTTCTCATAGTTGGACAGGATCTTTCTGTTAGCAAACTACCATGTTTAAGAAACCTGTTGTTTGCAAGCCCTACACCATACAAAGTGAGATTAGACTCCTAACTTGTAGTATACCTCTGCAAAGTTCTGTTACTTTATTAAAGTTCTGTTTTGCAGTCGTGAGCATCGCTTTGCTTTCTACTGCTGTGTGCTCCATGAGTTCATTTGAAATGGAATTCTCTGTATTAGAATTCATGTTGCTGCATGTTTTTTCCAACTTTGCTTTGTTTTTTCCCCCGTCTTTACACAGATCCTTTTGACTTGAATCATAATCTTGGTGCTGGAGTCTCTAGGAAAAGTAAGCTAAGTCTACTAATGATTAATCTTCACTGTTTTCTAAAGTGGTGTGCATTTTCTGTTGTTTTCTAATAATTTTGTCTTTCTTCATTAGTGACCAATTTCATAATGAAGGCATTTATCAACGGGAGGAAATTATTTGGTACCCCATTCTACCCAACTGTTGGAAGGGAAGCTGTAAGTTTTCAAAATTTTAGTTTGGTTTTTAAAAGCTTTTCATAATATTGCTGAAGACTGCAAAATCGGATTTAAAACCCAATGAACACCTTCAGGAGCTTTTGCAGCTATTTGTGTAGCAAAGAAAACAGAGTTGCAAGACATTACAAATGTGTAATTTTACTTATTTTTTTCTAGTGAGTGGGAAAAGGAAGAGCTCTCCCTTAAGGAGGGTGATCAACTTTTTGTTAGCAGCTGACCTTCAGAATTTGTATTCTGAGTCTCTGTTGGGAGCCTGTCCATATGACATGCTATGAAGAATGTACTCCTCTCTGGTACAGGCTCCAGTCATCTGTGTGTAATAAAGAACTATTTTTGTGTATAAGTAAATCATCTGAAGTGACCATTACTAACATCTGCTTATTAAGGTGCTTTCTAACACAATTTAGGACTGTGATAAGTGGTTTATACATTGTGTCTGTCTGGTGTATTTTGATAGGAATACTTCTTTGACTCAAAAGTGCTGACAGATGGAGAATTGGCACCCAATGACAGATGTTGTCGTGTGTGTGGAAAAATTGGTCACTACATGAAAGACTGCCCGAAGAGGAGGAGGTAAGTAATACACAAAGCTAACTTCTTAAAAGTTCCAGTCTTTGAGATTAAGCCATGAGAGAGTTGGAGATTTGAAGTTTAAATAGAAATGAAGCAAATGCTCTGAATTGCATAGAAAATCAGAGCTTCATATCTGACCCTGATCTAACCATCCAATTTTTGTTTTTAAGCTATTTATCATCATCCCTTCAAGTCTTAAAAGTGTTCACTCAAGCACACACATGGCAAAATCAGTCCATATGTTAACATTTTTGCTTTGTGATCTACTTTAAATATGTTCATCTTAAAATTTAAATCACTCAGTTACCCTTTATATTGTAAACTTTCAGTTGTGGACCATATCACCTGATTGTACAATTTATGATATGTGTGTACTGGTGATGTTTGGAAGGCAGTATTGAATTCAAACTGTTCTATATAGTAACATATCTTGTAAGCCAGCTAAAATCTTATTTATTAAAATCTAGATGCAGGTTATATCATGCTAGTGTAGCCACTTAATGATCATACATCTGTACATCAATTGCAATTATGTCATTGGTTCCAAGACTCTTGGAGAAAAGAATTCCTATTACATGGTAGGTCGGTGTCTCCAAAGAAAGTTCATCAAGGATTGACAAATAATTCACACTCTTTGCATTTTTACATCTTTACATTTTCCATGAGCCATCCAGTGCAGGTTGTCTGACTCCTCCTACAATCTGTGGAAGCCCTTAGAAGTCAGTATTTTATTGTTACAGACTGAGGTCTGGGCTTTTTCATATAGTCCTTGTGTTCAATTATATATTCTATAATTCTTCCAAAAATTCTGTTTCTTTCCTTGCTATAAGTCCTTTACTAATTACAGCCATTTATTTAGTCTGCAGACTTCAAGATACATGAAACTGGACTGGGCCCCAAAGTCACAGGTTGACCATTTCTTTCAGCGACTCTCAGTAATACATTCCTCACAAACACTAGCACATTGAATTGCTTCACCTCTTTCCTTCTATCTACCTCAGGAGGAGTTGTGATCTGTTCCTCCCAGAAACTGCTGCTACAGTGCAGCCACCTGGAATCTCACATGAATAGTACATACAGCTCACAAAATAATACTCAATGCTTCGGACTTCATGTGGAGGAAGACTTGTTTCTTGTCTTGGTTCCTGATCACTAATAGTTCTCCAGTGTTTTTGCATTAGTTCTGAATGTTTGAAAGAGCTTCTGTGCTCTCTTTCACATCCTGTGCAGGTTCAGGTTGCTCATACACTCTTATAAATATGTACTCCAGGTCCAGTCAGAAGGAGCCTTTACCTACAAAATATAGTTAACTTGTTTTTCCAGTATTCTGACTCAGTTGGATTGTTGCATAAAATTAACTCCCAAACTAATTGGCAGGCTGAGCCTGCTTAAGTGTCGGTACAGTTCTGGACCAGTATTCAGGTAGCTTCTGGACGATACTGGGGAGTTTCTGAATTGGTTGTTTGTACAAACAGGTTACTAACCAGATTCGATTCTGAAAGTTCCTTTTCTGGTATTCCTAAATTATTTATATGCTGGTACAGCTGTTGGTTATGTAACCATTTCCTTTGCATATACCAATGTAATAACAGAGTTTTTTTTCTCTGTGGTTTTTGTATTTGTGCTCATAAAAACTTGCCAATTAGGTTAAAGAAAAAAGAGAATGAGAAAGATGATGAAAAAGAAGTGAAAGAAGATGACAGAGAAACAAGAGAGAAGAGGTGTTTCATCTGTGGAGATGTGGGTCATGTTAGAAGAGATTGTCCTGAATTCAAACAAGCCCGTCAGAGAAATAATAGTGTGCCAAGTAAGTAAAGCTTCTGTGTTCTTAATATCATTTTAAAGTCCTGAGATCCATTCTTTCTAGCTTTCTATACAGACTTAGTAATTATCTTCAATTTTTTTTGCAACTGATGGTTTCAGTGATTGCAAAATAAACCCCTTTTAGTCTAAGTGTTGTTTTTTCTGCAAGGGCAGTAGAATCTATTGAAATTCAGGCTTTGCATGGGTGGTTAAAAAAAAAAAAAGTACTTAGCAGTAAGTATAGTGTACTTCAGTGCCTTGCATTTATTTGTCTTCCACTCACACTGGGTGCGTTTAGTGTGGTAACCAAATTAATAATTGAATGCATTTCTTCTTCCAAGTGTTTGTTAAATGTTAGCTAACCCTCCATCATGTATGAGAGGTAAGTAAGTGTATTTTCACAAGAAATGAGTGGTTTTAAGTAACACTCTAAAAGCATGTAAATACATTAGGAAGCTGTTGAATCACTGTTATATAATCTAATTGCAAACCCATTTAAATTAGGCTCTAACAGGTCTACAGTACTTGAGAAAGTAAGGAAAGAGATGATAAATGAACTTTAGAGAGAACCTTGTTGCTTTCTGTATTCCATTCCTTTTTTTTTTCTCTCTTTGCCCAAAAAGTTCTTGCTGTTGCTAATGCCATTTGAAATCCCACAGCTCACAGCAATTGTGTGGAAACCTCTGTAAAGTAGCCTTTCTTACCTGTTCATACTAGGGTTTGTATTGCACAGAATTAAATGTTGACTTTAGCTGCTGTAAATACTACTATCAGCTGTTACCAATAGATGGAAGGCTTTCCACTTAAAGGCAGAAGTGATTTACCTGTGCTGTGTCACACATTGCTTACAGTATCACTGATTCCTGGTTCCAAGTTCATTATTCTGTAACCCATAACCGTGTGCTTTTTGTTTAACTTTTTGTTCTTTGATTAGGCAGCCAGTTGGTTCGAAGCATGGTAAATTCACAGCTAGTGGCTGTAAGCCAGCAGCAAGTGGAAGGACCCTTGCGCACTAGACAGTCGTCAGAATGTGTAAGTTCCAATTGGCTGCAAAGTAAGTAGCTTTAGCAAGCCAGGAATCTTGGGCTGTGCTAGGAATAAGTTTGACCAGACTTGTTTAGCAGATTGTGGATCTCTGAATGACAACATTGCACTCTACCTAACCAGGTAATACATCTGTGATTTGTAATGCAGTGTCTGCTTGAGATTGTTCATGATGTTTCAATATGGAAACCGTATAGTCAGATTTCATATGAGAACTCACAGTTCTTAAAGGTCAAATTCAGTATCTGTCAAATACAGGTTAGGGTATCTTGTGAAATCTTGTGCTTGGTTGTTTCTGGCAATATTCTGGAGTAACTAAGAGAGGTAAAACTCAGCTTATCATTAAGATACTGTACTCGTGGGTTTATGACTACTGTGATTTTCTTTGGGTTAAGAGGGGACTGCAAGAAACAGACAGGAAGCACAGTAAATCATACCTTGGTTCAGATGTGATAACAGGAGAGTCTGCCAGCAAGAACTAGAAGAACAAACAAAACAGTGGGGTTCCCTAGAGCACGTTACCCAGGACTGTGGCCAGATGGCTTTTGAATATTGCCAGGGAGAGATTTCACAGTCTCACTGGGCAACCAGTGCTCAGTCACTGTCACAGAATAGAAATATTTTCCTCTTGTTCAGACAGAAATAAAAAATAAGTTTTTACAGAAAATGCTGCAATACTGTCTGTTTCTGTGCCTTCAGCAATGACCTGATATCAGCATATGGAGGATCTAGAAAGTTCAATTTCTTGTTTAATAGATTAAATAACAATTAAATAAGAGCTTATTTTGGAATCGCTAAAGTGTCTGTGGCAATAAGAACTACTCTATTTAGAAATAAGCTAAGTCTTTAATGAGACTCTGGGCTACAAATAAGCAGGCTGGGAAAGACTGATTAAAAATGAGAAACAGATGTGTAAAAAGTCTAATGAAGAGCTTGTGGTTAATATTTGCTCAGAATCATGTTTTTGGTGGGATGGGCCATGTTAGCAGGCTAAATCATCTGCTGGGGAAAACAAATGTCAGTTGAACTGCACAGGTTTAAACCAGCAGGAACTTGGGCTTAGTAGTTGGGATATTGCTGGGGAGTGCTCTGCATTTTTTTTTAACGAATAGAATAATGCATTGTGTACTTATTAAAGAAAAACACTATTAAATTGCTAATGGACTAATCAGAAACACATACTTTTTTTTCCCTCCAGTCTGATTCGCATCAGTCATCTTATTCTCCACAACCTCAACAATTTACACAGAATTCCTCTCAGCCAGCCTCCATTAACCAGACTCAGCCACAACCAATATCCCAGTCTAAGCACGTTCCACAACCACAGCAGGGTGCACAGCCACCCCATCAGGTCCAGCTGTCTTTGTTTAACTTTCCCCAATCTCCCCCAGGTCAGTATTCTACCTTGCATAACCTGGGACTACTTCAGATGCACCATCACCACCAAATTCAGCTTCCCAACACTTCGTGGCCTATTCATGGGCCTGTTATTCACTCTGCACCGGGTAACCCTCCTCATTCTACAAATGTTCCATTTTCTATGAGATCTGGCAGCAGCAGCACCACAAATAACCAGAGCAGTGTAAGCTTGAACGATCCCAGTATCATCTTCGCACAGCCTGCTGCCAGGCCCATGGGAATCCCCAGCACTTCTCATGAGGGACACTGGCACAATCCTGTGACTCCAAACTCACTGGTGAACAATGGCACTGTGGGGAATTCAGGTAATTCTTCTCTGTTGTATCAAACCTCTCACACTTTGTGTACAAATGTTAAATGCTACAGAAACAGCTAACTCTTCCAATTTGTTTTGCATTAAAAATACAGTGCTTAAGAAACCAAGTTATTACCTTCATTGTCTTAATGTTTTTGTAGGAAAAAATTATGCAGCTTGGATCTTTGTTAACTTTTAATCGTTGATCCTATTTGCCAGTAATGGCTGTGCAACTCATGAGAAAACATGCATTCAACTGAGAAATGTTCTAATAATTGTTTGAGTCTGAAGTTTATTTCTGTGAACATGCTTACAAAATCAGTTTCTGTTTATGATGCTGTATAGAATTAGATGAATGCTGAGACTGCAACTATGAATTTGAGAGTCTGGCAGACACATTGTCCTCTTGTATTTAGTGCAACATAGGCATGACATGGTTTTTATACAGTCTTTTCTCCTATCGTTTATTCTGCTTCATTTAACTCCTTTACTATTGAGCTTATTTTCTGAGAATACATCATAAATGTTTTACCTGCAACAACTGGGCAACAGCCTTTTGCCTCATACCAAAGCCAAGTACATCTGTATGTTTGAGGCTGAGAAAATAGTATGTAGTAGTCAGAGCCCATATAGTTTTTTATAGTATGTAGTAGTCAGAGCCCATATAGTTTTTTAAGCAACATAAAAAATGGCAGCCCCTGAACTTGCATGTAATGTCTTTTGATTTAATTGTGTAACCCTTCCAATATTTAAATATATATATCTTCATAATACAACATGATGAGGCAGTTGTTCATCACAAGGGGGGGAAATTGGAATTGGGAATCTCTTGCACAGCTTTTCTTTGCACTAACAGAATAATTGACAGCAACAGTAGGTTTTCATCTGAGTTAACAGTATTGGCTGAGGTATGCTCCACCAGTGAGTTTTTAATGCATCTGTTGAGGTGCAGGGATTGCATGGTTTTGTATTTAAAGCTTTGTGGAGAAGATACTCTTGAGGATACAGGAGCTGCTACAAACGTGCTGAATTTTCAGTGTGCTTTGTCCCTGAATCTCCATCATTTCTGATCTTAATTATTTGTCCAGGCTCATCTGCCCTCTCCTCCATGCCCAGCCAGCCCTGACTTATCCTCAAGCACCTTCTTCCAATCTGACTCTTCTCACCTGAGTAGCTGTGTTCTTGCAGGCTATCTGCTGAATCCTAGTTTCTCCTTCATTCTCTTTCCTCAAGTAGTCCCATTTTTCATCATGTAGTCCAGTCAGTCTCTGTCTTCAATCTGTTTCCTTCTGCTCTGTTTCATTATGTTGGTGGCCCTTCCTGAGCAGGGGGTTGGGGCTTGGTGATCCTTGAGGTCCCTTCCGACCCCTGCCATTCTGTGATTCTGTGATTATATTTGCTTCTTCTATCATCTTGCCTTCACAGTTGTTGTCCCAGGTTTCTTGTGCAGTCTCAGTACTTTTTCCCCCTCAAACTGTTTTCTAACTTACTGCACACCTTTTCCTAGTTTTCAGTCTTGGAGTTTTTCCTTTTTGTATTTTAATCAGCTTTGTTTCCTTTATGGCTTAGGTGGTATTTCAGGTGACATCACTGGATAGGTCCATAGTAAAAAAAAGAGCTGCCTGCTTTCTTTGGAGCCTACTTTATACTTGCATGGGACAACTTGGGAATACTAAGTCTGTGGAAAACTTTGTCTTGACTTGCATGAACTCAAGTTAGAAGGAACAGATTTGCTTTCTTTCCAGTAGACAATCTGATCAGAAGGAGGATCATTACAAGTTTTCAGACATAACTTTTTTTATGCCTGCTGCAGAGCCGTGCTTCATTACTATTTTTAAACCTGTAGCTTACTTCTGTGTAATGAAAGTCTGTCTAAAAGTTTTATGACTAAGCTGAAAGGGAGCTGACATACTGAGAAAGCACCTGTTACTTGAATGTATTTATTTATTTTTAAATGTACATTGTCTACATTTTTAAATTAGTGGGCACTGTTGTATCTTAAAAACCTGGAAGCTACAAGCAAAAAGAACAGAAGTAATACAGCATTTTGCATAAGCTGTTGTGTGCCGTGCCTCCTTGGATGCTTGATTTCTCATGCTTAATTCAGCAGTAATACTAGATCTGTGAATGGAATAGCCCATAATTTTCGTATTTATTTCAAAAGTTTTTAATCTTTCTCTCTAGAAATCAATTTTAAATTGGTCTCTTGACCAACTATGTACTGAGTTTCTTAAGTATAGAAGCATTAGTGGATTTTCAGTGTATAGTTTCTGAGAGTTCTTTCTTGCAGGACAATACTTTCCATGTCTCACATTAGCAATAGTGAAGATCTGTGTGGGCTCAGATGTTAGTGAAGTTGTTCAGAACTTGTATTTCTCGTCATGAGTGACGTAAAGTCTAATTTATTTTTGTGTGGAATTGTGAAATTGTAGGTCTTGATTCTAAGTACTGAATTCATCATATGTCTTCCCCACCAATCAATTCTATCATAGTGAATAATGAAGTAATTTAGGTGGTAATTTTTATTGATGTACTCTCAAAAAATAAAATGGTAGCACATTGGACTAGACACGTTAAGTGCCCTGCAAACTGTTATTTGAGATGTCAATTGTATTTGTGACTTACTGTTTAATTGTTTCAACTTGCAATGTGCTTTTCCCTTTCAATTGAAAAATAGATCAGGGTTTCCAAGGACAGTTTGGTAAAATGAACCCTCCTTCTGTCCCTTGGGACCATGGGACCCCTACCCATTTTCCTCTCCTCCGAGGAGCGTGGCCTTACAATATGCCTCAGAACTACATGCAGCAGGGAAATGCCAGCTACCCACCGAACAAACCTTTCTACCCTCAAGGTACTAGAACTAGTATGTGAATCAACAGCTCATGCAACATGTCTCTTTACTGTCTCGAAGGCTTTACAAGCCCAGGAATCATGTTTCACTTGCCTAGTCTCCCTCAAACCATAATGAATTCAAGAGTCAAATCCACACTTATTGGCTTTCTGTATGGATTAAAATCTTTGGGGGAGGGAAGGGGTTAAATCAAATTCTGAACTCTGCATCAGCTTGCACTCTTGCACTTCCAGCCTTTTTCCTCTACTGCTGGTCTCGTTGTAGAGCCACCTCTGCTTTGCTAGGGTTAAGATGATTTGCCCATGAGTTTGTTAAGAATTGGAAGAAAATCTTGTGCTGATTCATTTTATTTGTCTTTTGTACATTGCTTGTGGAGTGCCTTTACATACATGAAAGCTTACAAGACTGTAGAATAATTCAAGTTGGAAGGAGCCACTGGAGGTTATGTAGTCCAGCTGCAATCAAAGCAGTGCTGTCATCAAAGTTGTATCAGCTTCAGGACTGACTTTATCTCAACTCTTCCTAATGCTAGTGAGGTAAAGATGTTCAGCATCTTCCAGGATTGGGAAAGACAGTAAGAAAAATACCCTTGGCTCCAGTAAGAGAAAAACTATGCCCAAATTTTACTTGGAAGCTGTGATTCCTGTGTTGCTGTATAAAATGAGAGATACTGGCACCAAATCTTCTGCTCTGTTGGCTGTAGTGAGGTTTCCAAGTGAGACCCTCATTTTAATATTGTGACGTTATTCTTGTTGAGGACCTAAGAATGAAGTAAATTCATCTATTAAACTTTCTGAGGGAATTTTGCACATAGCATTAAAATACTGCATTGTCCCACCAAGTGGGATAGCTGTACAGATAGCACGTGTGTCAATCTAGAAAATGACTTTATTTCTAAGTAAGATTAATACATTTAATATAGCCAAGCACCATTAGAAATGTTAACTTGCTGAAGTAATTGTAATCCATTTTCTTTTAGCTGGTCCACTGATGCAGAGTAACCAGCGGTTCTCGCTTCTGTCTCAAGGACACCCACACTTGAATCTGAATTACATTCAACAGAAAAAGTGAAGTTTAATGGGATTGTGGGTGGGTGGAGGGAGGGGAGGAAAAAATTCAGGTTCTGATTTAAAATCGTAATGCAACATGTTTAGATACAAGATTATTTAAGACTGTTTTTAAACTGTATCATTTGTACATAGATACGAACTATAGTTTTTACTAGTATCACAAAATGAAGTGATACAAATTTCATCTATTTTATTACCCTATTTTTAAGGGGAACTGTGTTTTGTTTTAACTTGATAAACTGTAAAGAGAGAGAATTTTTAAAATTAAGTTCTTTATTTTCTATTAGCTGTATTCATACTTCGGTTGCTTCAGACTTTATATATATTGTTCTAAAAAATAAAATTAGAAAGGGATTTCATGTGTTTAAAAATTTGTCACTTCTATTCTTTACAGAACTATGTAGTGCCAAAAAACTTTTTAAAAGAAAAATAAAACTGCAAAAAAAAAATGGATATGACTTTTTCCTCTTCCCTGTTTGTATATTTAAAGTACAGTAACAAAAGCAACTTTGAGATATTTTAAAGGAGAAAATGACTTGCTTTAATGAGCCACGTTGTTCACAGGCAGTATCTTGCACAGTACTTGATCTAAGCGTGCACTTTGTTTTCTGTTTAAAACCTTTCTACTGAGTATGAAAATCTAGACAAAACAGGCTGTACTCTGAGACAGTCCTAAAGAAGTTAGTTTGGCATATTACCTTCTGTGGTGTCAACACCCAGTGGTTGGTATCAAGATATTGTGGCAGAATCCAAATTTTATGTATGCAGTGTTCAAGAGACAAAACTGTCAGTCTAAGGTAGAGTAGAAAATGAGTTGAATACAACTCCATTCCTGTGATATTAATTATCTTAAATGTACTAAGGTAAGAATTGTGATTTGAGTAAGAACTTTGGATATTCTTAATTTGAAAAACAGGGTGTTGCCGAATGCTAACTCCGTTAAGAGATGCTAGAGCTGAGCTAACGTCTCATTTTCTTCCCAGTCACAGGTAGGCCTTAAGTGATCTGTCTTCAAAGTAGCGGTTTACTGTTCCTAAATTTAGTAAATAACAACATGTTTCAGGCAAAAAGGGGTATTTTACTCTACTGGAATCTTTTGATCCTGGCTAGTACTAGACTTAAGGAAGATCCCTTAAAAAAGAACAAGCACTGGCTAGATATTGGAGATTACTTAATGAAATTGGAAGCTAACTTAAACCCATGCTAGATTTTGGTGGTGCTGCTTCGTTTCCTGTACCGGAGGCTTATTGACAGAGTTTAGGCTTGTAGTTCTTCAGTGTTTATGACTTACGCATATTCACACTTTAGCAATGGAACGCAGCATGTTAGTCAGAACAAAGCTTTGAGAATAAAGCCAGTTTCAATTAGAAGTCCCAGTGAAAGATTACAAAAGAAACAGGAAAGAGCCTTCAAAGACAAAACCCTATTTTATTGCTCTTCACTGTTTTTTTTACAGGCCTCAAGAAAAACAATTTATAAACTACCTTTAGATTTTATCATAAGGACTAGAAAGTAAAAGCAACTTCAGCTTTAACTAAAAAAAAAAAAACAACAAAAACCCCCCCACAAAAACAACACGTGTACAAGAGGAAAAGGACTAAAAATGACTGCTAAAGCAGCCAGTGCATATTCAGCTGTCCCATAAAGCAAATAGGACAGTATTAGACTGAACTGTGTGCTGAAATTAGTTCATTATTCATTCCCTCGACGACTCTTCTTGTGACTTTTCTTAGATCTGAAAGAGAGAACAGTTATGTGTCACAGTTCTAGTAACTGTTTTAAACAAACAACGTGAATTACAGCAATAAGTGGTGTTTTACACAGCCACATGTGGATAGTGTAACTAGAAAACACTGAATGAAGTACCATATCAAATACTTCATTTACTACATAGTAAGAAGACCTTCAATCCCCAAGATTCAATGACAAGCACAAGCTCTTACAACCAAACACCCATCCTTAAGAAATGTGCCATAAAATAATACCTTTCAGGTGATTTGGAATGACTTCTGTGTCTGTGACTACGATGATGTCCTATAAGACAGAAAAAAACCAAAGTTACTTCCATAGACCCTGGAGGTCTTTTTTCTTTTGCTCTTGTAATCTGCTTCTAATTGTCCTAGCTAATTAGGCATTCAAATTAACCTCCTGCCAAGTGTCTGAAAAGTGCACCCAGGCAATTTTGTGAGTATTGGAGCAGTTCTCAACACTTTCATATAATTAACCACTTTATAAACCAGATTAAGCATGTAAGCTACCTTTCGATACTATGACACTGATTTTTCTTTCAGTAGATGTCGTCTGGTTAAAAAAAAAAAGCCAGCTTAATTTAAAAACTACAGAAATACCTGGAGATTTAGATCTTGATCTGTGGCGCCTCTCCCTGGATCTGCTCCGGTGCCGTCGTGGGCTTTTGCTGCGATGCCTCTCCCGGCGTGGTGATGGACTGAGAGGAAAGAAGCTTTTAAGACAGCCGTGCTACAAACATACGTTTTAACATAAAGTAACAGAATAAAAGACTACCTTCTTCTCTTTGGAGAGCGGCTTCGCCTGTAATTGAGGGAGAAAAGCAGCATTAAAAATAATAACAGAACCACCAGTTTCATTCCCTATACACTCTAGCAACTGCACCCTACACTCTCCTATAGCCTACAGTAGCAGTTGATGGGCTTGATGCACAAGGGGCAGTACATGCTTTGGTCTGGCCCATGCATTGAGCAGAAGCATTAAGTGATGATTCTTTTCTGGCTTGCTACCAGGAGGAACAGTAACTGGATTTTCTCTCAAAACTTCAGCTTACATGGAAACAAGCACTTTGTTCCCCTTAGTATCTTCATTCTGTTATCAGATTTAGCTAACAGTGGCCAGCAAGTTTAACAGTTACTGAAGATCAAGGGAAACAGTCAGATGTCAACTGTGACTGCACTGCTCCTTACTTTAGGAAGTGGCTAAAGAACGTGGAAAGCGTAAGAGATTCTGGGCCTAAATTGTCATCATCTCCTTCGTGCTTCACTGCAGCCCTCCGCAGCACAACAGGTAAAAATACTGCTGAAAAGGAGCCACGTCTCACCTTCGTGGAGACCTGCTTCGGCTCCGCCTGTATCGTATAGCTGGAGATCTGCGAGGTTTGTCAAGGTCTCTGTAGCCTCTTCTGCGGTGATCAGGAGATGGTACTCGCTCCAGCTGGGAACAGCGGGGGAAAAAGGTTCTGTAAGTCCTTCATCGAGGTTTTATTTATAACAAGGAATTCTGAATGATAAATCTAAGTGAAAAAAGAGGAGATAAACCATCCGATAACATTTTCCTTAATGATGAAGGAAATCCTTAGGCCTGTCTCGTAGAAAGGAGAAACTGCAGCACAGCTAAGAATAGCAGATGCCCAGTGCATAAACGCACTCCAGTAGTATGTTTCTTTGATATATATGGAACTGAGTTTCAGGGTCAACAGAAATCAAGCCTTGTATTCTTCAAATATTTCATATTCCTGTATGAGTGATACTGCCCAAATTTGGTAACTGGAAATTAAAATGGCTGCTTTCATACTGTTCATTCTTAAATAGCACAGCAGATTTGACTACAGTTGTCATCATAACCTTCACCATCTTTACTTGTTGGCTATGTAAAATAATAGATAGATAAAATAATTTATCTAAAACATGTTTAAGTAGCACAAAAGAGATTCAGAGCTGTGATTTTCAGCAGGCAGGAAAGCCTGACAGACAACACTTCAGAGCTGCTTCAGGATCTAAAGCGTTCTCACAGGCAGCTTATGTGAAAATCCATTAAGGGAGGAGCTGATAGTTGCAAACAGCTGAGATCTCTCAAATATTTCTCACAAACCCACACAGTTTGTGGCAGTTCCAGCACTAGCTTTACCTTTTCCTCTAAAACATGTCACTAACCTTTTCATCTTCCTCTTCTTCCTCCTCACTAGATTCTACATCATCCATATCTTCTTCCAGAGCACTAACACGAGGTTCAAGTTGCTCAGCTTCTTCCAGAACATATCGTTTCTAGGAGAAATTACAACTTTATTCTTGGGCTATATATAACATAAGCACCAAAGAGGCATCTGACATGCCCAAAGATTCTTAATCATAGCTTCATTCAACTAGTGTGCTATGCCAGTAGCTGATACAACTACTGAATATGATGCAGTTAAGACCATTTGTTTCTCCAAACCTGCAATCGAGGCAGAATTATATCGCACACACGTTCCTCATGGAGCAGTTCATCGATAAACTCATCCACATGCATCAGTTCAAATTCTAGAGGGAAAAAAATAGCATCTTAAATACATGGTCAATGCTATATAAACGAGATACTTTGGACTTCGCTGAAGGAGCTGCACAAACAATAGCTTTAAAATTTTTCTTAATGATGAAGGAAATCCTTAGGCCTGTCTTGTAGAAAGGAGAAACTGCAGCACAGCTAATAGCAGATGCCAGTGCATAAACTCACTCCAGTAGTATGTTTCTTTGATATATATGGAGTTGAGTTTCAGTGTCAACAGAAAACGCCAGCATTTGGGGAAAGCAAAATAAGAAAGGCAGTTCTTATTTGTACAAGATTCACAACATGATATCACAAGGATAAGTTAGTAAAAGTGGTGTTTCAAAAGGATAGTTGTGTTCCATTTTTTAACTTATGCACAATTAAAAGAGAATATTTTTCTAAAAGAAACACCTGTTAAAGAGGCCACTAATGCACTGAGAAACCATAACCACATGTTGCTTACCCCCATTTCTGTTCTGACTTTTTATTTTTCTATAGTCGTTGTACAGTGGTTCAAGATACTTGTAGCAGTCAATAGCTGTGCCCGTCAATCTCATGTACAATGCACCAAGCATTCGGACATACCTGGAAAGTAAAGCATTGCACGTATCTGAGCTTTCTGCACAGTCAGCAGTTCAAAGAAAAATCATTCCCAGAATTTTATGAGAAAAACAGTACCCTACAATAAAGAGTGTCTGTATGGATCTTCTCCTTCAAATACTCAAGCACGCGCAGCATCCCAGTACAGGTTGTTTATATGTGCAGAGCTGCATTATCACTCCCAGAAGATTAAAGAAACACTTTAGACAAAGTAGGTGATTATGGCTCCATTAATGCACCTCACTCCCAGTACTTCAGGCTGTGTTACTGCAGAGAACATAAGCCATAAAGGCGAATATTTTCAGCAGCCCAGCAACAAGAGGAACAAGCCTTCGGAAAACAAGAGTAAGGCCAGGCTTTAGCAAGAAGAGCACATTTACAGAGGTTTGTGTACAGGAAGCTGAACCCTGCCCTGGAGCTTCCCTGGCAGTTCAGGACATCCACATTTCGACAAGCAAAAGAGCTCAAGGCAAGGAAATGTGCTACAGACTTACTTGAAGTCCTCATTTTTTATGAACTCCACAATGATGTCCTTCTCGGGCTGGATCTGCAGCATCTTCAGCGTCAGGCACAAGAAAGGCGTGGGCTTGATGTTCCCGCCATAGACGCCCCCCACGTACTTCAGCTCCATCGCCTTGTCCACCACCAGCTCGGCTGCGAGATGAACAGCCATCAGTTCCGGCCCCCCCTCGAACTCCCCGCCCGACCCAGCCCGCCATACCCGTGAGGCCGAAGCATTCCTCTTTCCAATACTTGGACTCGTAAATGCGGGTACGAATGATCTTCTCCACGAGGTACTGCGGGTTGGTGCCGTGGATGCTGTGCGCGTCTTTTACCGTGCGGTTCGCCATGGCGGCCGCCCCCGGCTCCCCTCCGTACGGCGGCAAACACACTCACCCCACTTCCGCGAGGAACACTAACAACTTCCGCTTCCTGTCCCCCACCCCGCCACGTTCTTTTCGGGCAGAGCATCACTTCCGGTACCCCTTCCAGATTCAAATATGGCGGCACCGCCCGGCTACCTTCTCCCGTCCTCTCCGTTCTGTGCGCACGCGCGGCGGAGGGGGCGGGGCTGCGGGTGGGCTTTGGCGCGAAATTCTATCGCGGGGGTGGCGGGAGCTCGCGGCGCTACTGTTGGTGCTGCTGCTGCGCGCGGGGATCGCTGAGGTTTTGCGGTGAGCGGGGCTGCGGTCCCTGAGGGCAGCGGGCCGGCGGCTGGCTGGCTGGATTGCTCGTTCTGTGAGGGCGCTTCGGGGTCTCTGCGGGTTCGACCCCGTCCGGCGCCATGGCCACGCGGGCTGTTTGGCGGTAGGAAAGCAACCATGGGGATGGCGGCTCTGAGGCCAAAAAAGGAAGAGGGAGGGGAGATGAAGCGTGCGGGACTGTTTCACCCGCCGCGTTCGTGGGAGATGGGCGAAAACCAGCGAGGAGAAGCGCTCAAACGGCCTTCGGTGTGCGAGGGCATTGTCAGGGAAAAGGGGGCCCTCAGGGCGGGTTTAACCCCGGGGGTTTAACGCGAGCGGCGGGCGGGGACTGAGGTTGGGAGCTGGGGCTGTGTCTTAATCTGCACCGCTTGGGGGAATCGGGGACTGACGGCCATTCCCGCGGTCTGGAAAACTTGAGTGTGGTCCCCTCTTATTTTTAAGCTATAAGCGATAATTGCTCGTTTATGTGCTTATTCTTTTCCTCAGGAATCATGGACACCGGCCAGCAGAGCAAAATCATTTATTCCTGGTATGGAAAGCCCATGAGCTCAGACAGAAAGCTGAGGACTCTGCAGTACAAGTAAAAAACGTTTATTTCTGTTTTTCTCAGGGGAGCATAAGCAGTGACACTTGCTTTGCCTTTTTGATGTCACGTAGGTTAATTGGGCTGTGAGAATATTACTAAATAACAGTAGTTTTGTCATACCTGTCACGACACTGTATGTGTACCACAAAAAGTGTTGTCGTGAAGCTCTTGAAATGTAAATTGTATGTTTGTGCATGAGCACTTAATTATAATCTGTAAATAAGTGTTAACTGCCTATTCAAAATACAAGTGAAGGTTTTTAATTGGGAAGTTTTGTTGTTGTTTTTAAACTTTAGCCTTTGTTGGAGGGGCTATAAGTGACGTTAAGTTGGGCAGGAGGTCAGATTTGATGGCATGTGAATTGTAAAGGATGTTGAACTGTCTGCATCATTTTCTAGAGGAATTCTTATCAAATCAGAGAGAAGCAAAACAGAAAGATGTATACAGCTTGGTGACTTTGTTCTAATAGAAGGGGAGAATGCAGATCAACCTTTTGTGGCACAACTCCTGGATTTGTACGAAGATGGTAAGAAATAAAAACTCACCTCCTACATGAGGAATCTTAAAATGCTTTAAAGATAACTATACCATGGGGATGTGATTAGCATTAATGCTGTATTGCTGCTCTAAATTATTACAGGAACGGGACTGTGCTGATCACTGCTTGCGTATGCAAGTTCTACCTAAAAATTTGGTACTGATTTCATCTAAATTGGATTGCTAAATGCAGTTGAAAGGCTTTAAAAGGCACTATCTTTTGCTTACTTGTTTACTTCTAGAAGAAATAGTCCTCAAGGAAGGCAATGTGAGCTCTTGCTTCATTTAGATATTGGAGAATCCCACTGGAACAAGAGTGCTGCAGCTCTGAGACT